GCCTGTCAATCTCCTGTTCCATCCTTCCCTCACTCGTGAACAAGACCCCAAGATACTTGAACTCCTCCACTTGAGGCAGGCACTCTCCACCAACCTGAAGGGAACAAGCCACCCTTTTCCGACTGAGAACCATGGCCTCGGATTTGGAGGTGCTGATTCTCATCCCAGCCGCTTCACACTCGGCTGCAAACCGCCCCAGTGCATGCTGGAGGTCCTGGTTTGATGGGGCCAACAGGACAACATCGTCTGCCAAAAGCAGAGACGAGATCCTGTGGTCCCCAAACCGGACTCCCTTCGGCTCCTGGATGCGCCTAGAAATTCTGTCCATAAAAATAATGAACAGAACCGGTGACAAAGGGCAGCCCTACCGGAGTCCAACATGCACTGGAAATAAGTCTGACTTACTGCGGGCGATGCGAACCAAGCTCCTGCTCCGGTCGTACAGGGACCAGACAGCCCTTAGGAAAGGGCCCCGGACCCCGTACTCCCAGAGCACCCCCCCACAGGGCGCTGCGAGGGACACGGTCGAATGCCTTCTCCAGATCCACGCAGCACATGTGGACTGGTTGGGCAAACTCCCATGAACCCTCCGCCACCCTGAAGAGGGTATAGAGCTGGTCCAGTGTTCCACGGCCAGGACGAAAACCGCATTGTTCCTCCTGAATCCGAGGTTCGACTATCGGTCGAATTCTCCTCTCCAGTACCCTGGCATAGACTTTCCCGGGGAGGCTGAGGAGTGTGATCCCCCTATAGTTGGAACACACCCTCCGGTCCCCCTTCTTAAAAAGAGGGACCACCACCCCGGTCTGCCAGTCCAGAGGCACTGTCCCCGACCGCCATGCGACGTTGCAGAGGCGTGTCAACCAAGACAGCCCAACAACATCCAGAGACTTAAGGTACTCAGGGCGGATCTCATCCACCCCCGGTGCCTTGCCACCGAGAAGCTTCTTGACTATCTCAGTGATTTCAGCTTGGGTGATGGACGAGTCCACCTCTGAGCCCTCAGCCTCTGCTTCCTCATCGGAAGACATGGCACCGGGATTGAGGAGATCCTCGAAGTATCCATAACATCATTTTAAACATTCTTGGATGCACACATCCATGAATGTATCGAGAATATATGCAAAAAGTTAAATGACTCAAAATACTAATTATAAAAAATGACTAATAACAGACTGTAGAAATGTGAATTCTTCTTACTGGTAATTCCTATTTCAAATATCCAGAATAAACATTACACATGGATGGAAAAGGCGTCCTATGAGAAGTGTTGCTGTGGGTATTTGAAATGTTCTTTTTGACGAGACGTACTGAATTAGACATATCTGCAAAATATATTTAGCCTAGTGTCTAAGTGTTAAAATGTCTTGCCATAGACACAGAAATCCACACAAACCATGCGCTAAATGCGGGCACATTCTCCATTTGGTGAGTAACCCTCAGAAGAGTATCAGCCACACTGGCGGGCAAATGTTTGTAGCTAAACAGCCATGCAATTAAACAGCATCCTGAGTGTCTCTAATATGGCTGTCTGCTTCTGTGTCAGAGTTTGAGACACACACATACACACGTATTTTGTGAAGACCCACCCTTACTTGCCTATGATCAGCTTTCTGAGCCAAGTGTAAAAATATGCTTTAGGTCATGGTTGCATGTATATAGCACGAATGATATGGGAACTGAAAAATGGGCAATGCATTCAGTTGAATTATTAAAATAGAAGCATACCGGTTATACACACATCTTGAAAACATGGCTGAAACCCTTTTGGTGTAGACACGGTGCGACACTTATTGTCCAAGTCTGTCTGACCACAATCATTAAGAGGCAGAGTAGTGACGGGTCCCCACGGTACAAGGGTGTATGCATGTACCACAGACACAGACAGGAGACTAGACTCCATGGACCGTGCAAAGAAGCAAGTGATTGCGGTTAAAGTGAAAAGTCTCAGGACTTCGGAGGAGCTTTAAGTTAGTTCAAATGATTACACATGCAAAGTAATGTCAATTAAATAAAAATATGTAATGTCAAATAAGTAATTGCATATATTTTCACCCCCTTCAAGTCAGTATTTAGTAGATGCACCTTTGGCTGCAATCACAGCACTGAGTCTGTGTAGATAGGTCTCAGTCAGGCTTGCACATCTGGATACTGCAATTTTACTCCATTCTTCTTTGCAAAAAGCTCTACCAGGTTGCACAGGGATGGGGCGTGAACAGCCCTTTTCAAGTCTAGCCACAAATTCTATATTGGACTGAGGTCTGGGCTTTGACTCAGCCACTCCAGAACACTCACCTTGTTGTCTTTAAACCATTTCTGTGTAGCTTTCACTGTATGCTTCGGGTCATTGTCTTGCTGGAAACTAAATCTTCTCCCAAGCTGTAGCTCTCTTGCAGGCTGAATCAGATTGTCCTCCAGGATTTTCCTATATTGTGCCACATTCATTTGACCTTTACCTTTACAAGCCTTACAAGGTTGGCTGCTGAGAAGCATCCGCACTGCACGATGCTGCAACCACCGTGCTTCACAGTGGGGATGGTGTGTTTGTGGTGATGTGCAGTGTCCGCCAAACATAGTGTCTTGTCTGATGGCCAAAAAGCACCATTTTGGTCTCATCAGACCAAAGAACTTTCTTCCACTTGACCATGAAGTCTCCCACATGCATTCTGGTGAACTCTAGTCAAGATTTAATGAGTTTTCTTCAACAGTGTCTTTCTTTTTGCCACACTCCCATGAAGCTTTGACTGGTGAAGAACCCAGGCAACAATTGTTGTATGCAGAGTCTCTCCCATCTCAGCTTCTGAAGCTTGTAACTCCTTCAGAGTAGTCATAGGTGTCTTGGTGGCCTCACTCACTAGTCTCCTTCTCGCATGAATGAGTTTTCTTCAACAGTGTCTTTCTTTTTGCCACACTCCCATGAAGCTTTGACTGGTGAAGAACCCAGGCAACAATTGTTGTATGCAGAGTCTCTCCCATCTCAGCTTCTGAAGCTTGTAACTCCTTCAGAGTAGTCATAGGTGTCTTGGTGGCCTCACTCACTAGTCTCCTTCTCGCATGGTCACTCAGTTTGTGAGGACGACCTGATCTAGGCAGATTGAGACATGTGCCATATTCCTTCCATTTCTTGATGATGGATTTAACTGAACTCTGGGAGATGTTCAGTGCCTTGGAAGTGTTTTTGTATCCATTCCCTGACTTAGACTTTCAATAACCTTTTCTCTGAGTTGCTTGGATTGTTGTTTTGTCTTCATGGTGTAATGGTAGCCTGGTGTAATGGTAGCCAGGAATACTGATTCACTAGTGACTGGACCTTCCAGACACAGGTGTGTTTATACTACAATCACTTGACACACATCCACTACACTCAGGTGATTCCCGTTTCACTAATTCTGAGACTAATAAAAACATCCAAGGAGGTGAATACTTTTTATAGGCACTGTAGACACACACATGCTGTGTTTTCATTCCTTGTGTGGACTTTGCATTGACTTATATTCATATCCTAACCATAACCACTACTTGCCTAACACCTAACCTAACCTCATCCTAACCCTAAACCACGTTGCCACCCTAAAATTCAGTGATTTCCTTGTGTGGACTAGCCCCTACAAGGATGGCTGGGTCCCCATGGTGTGGGTGTGTTAACAGGTTTCGGTCCTCATGATGTAGGCAACACAAAGGCGTGCGCGCACACACACACACACACACCTATTCCCTTCACATTGATTCATAAAATACCCCAGGGAGAAAAAACATAATCTGGTGACGTGGGTTTCTTTAAGACACAGAATGTAATATGCACTAAACGTTTAGCTTTGACCACTGTTACTGTCTGCAATTTAAGTAATAAAAATGTTGAGAAAACCAGACTAGATGCTCTTTTTATGAGACATCTTATTTCCTATTTTGTATATTTCCTGTTGCTCTTTAATAAAGGAAATTTGTTTTATTCGATTAACCGATAGATTAATTGGTATAATACTCGACTTCTAAATTATCGATAGCTGCAGCTCTAGCAGCAGTTAAGAATCATTTTTGTTAAAGATTAAGGATAAGGATAATCACCTTTAATGGCCAAGTATTTTACACACAAGGAATTTGTTTCCAGTACAGAACCGAGGCAGCCATCTGCGGCGCCACCTCAACCGACAGCTCTAGCCATCGGGGGCGACAGGGGGGTTCAGTGTCTTGCCCAAGGACACTTTGACATGTGGACTGCAGGCACCAAGATTCAATTATTTTGACTTTTAGTTAAAATCTTGTCTTTTCTCAATTTACCACTTGGCTAATGAAATGTCCTAAAATAGTTTTTAAAAAGTTCACGCTAGTTTCCCTGAGACCAGGGTGAGTTGTGTTGTCTGCCCAACTGTCCAAAACCCAAAGATATTCACTTTACAATTACCGATGACCAAGGAAACTATATTTAGATTTGAGAGGTTGGAGCCAGGAAGATGCAGACTGGCTCTGTGCATTTATAAAATCACGGTGTTGCTTCAGTCTTGCCATTAAAATGACAGCATTTCAATTTAGACCTGAAAAATGTCACTATTTGACTTTTACATTAAAGTGATTTTGGCACCTTGTTCAGGCAAGATTGACTTATAAAACTGCCATCACATTTATGAACCAAGGTGCATGTCTTAAAGAGGCTTCTCAGGCTTTTCAGTCACTTATTATCAACCTTTCAACCAACACTTTCTCCATGTTCCTTATGGACATGGCTACTGTAAAGTGTAAGCTGTTAATATACTCTGGAGCTTAGTTCTTCCTGTGAGTAGTAAAAACGCATATTGTAAAGTGCTTTGTTCCACATTCACTTAAAGGGCCCATAGCACTTTTCCTTGTTTTTTGACTTATCTAATGTTACAACGGTGAATTATCATCTTAGACGTGACCTAAAGCTCAAAATATGAGGTGTATGTATGTTATAGTATTTCTATGTGGAAGCAACTGGGTTTATACATGTCTCACTTACTCTCGCTCACGAGAGTTTTTTTCTATCAAAATAATGTATTAAGTGAGAGTTTAAGGATTTCCTTGAATGGGCATAAATCCAGGCAGTTGTGCGTTCATGTGAGCTTACCACATGAACGCACAACTTGCTGACATCCACTGGTGCCCCCAACATATTTGCAAAATGTTACATTGCCTTCTTTCTTACGTGCATTTTCAATAAAGCTTATGGGGGAAAAAAACGCTGGATTCCCCCAGAACACAGTGCCAGTTTGTTTTGACTGCTTGAGGCCACTGTGTCTACAGCATGCTATGTGTTGCTGGTTAAAGATCCATGATGTTAATGTCCATGCTACTCTACCTGTTGGAATTAATTTCACTACTTTGGGACTGTATATGGTCATGAGGAGGAAGATGCAGCGACCACCGGTTGGATTTACCGACCTTGGAGCTACTTGAAAGGGAGTGATGTTTCCACTACTCGGTTGGACTTAATGGTAAGTTTAAAAAAAACACAAGTTGCATGTCTGTTGTAGTTCTTCCTGCTGTCCACTTGAGACACAACACCGGCAGAAGAAGTTGTGCTCATTCACAAACAGTTTTTGCATTTTAAGGAAGAGGCTTTTTGGTTTTATCATTCTGAAATAATTACAGACTATTTGGAGTTATGATTGGTGCCAAGCTGATCTAGAGGTACCCAAGATTAAACATTAAATGACTGGAAACGAGCAAAATAAGCCATGGGCACTTTAAATGTAATGATACAGGTTCACTGAAACCCAGATTGTGTTTCTTACTTTGCATTGCTGTCGTTGGGTTCATCTCCATCTGATGACGAGGAAGGTGATGGAGAGGGCCCAGACTGAGTGCCGGTGTGATGATTGGGTAGTCGACTTCCCCCCTGAGTGGAATCATAAGGAGCTGACCAGTCAGAGAAGCCTGTCTTGCCCGTCAATGAATCGTTGCAGTCCTGCGATGGTGGTGGCAGGTTCTGGAACAGTGGGGTGGAGCCAGGTCCATATGAAGTATTTTGATAGGGTGGCTTTAACCCCGGAACCTGGGGAGGAGGGAACTGTGGTTGGACGGGAGAGCAGAGGAGAGAGGGATAAAAGAAAGGAAAATAAGTTGGAAAAGAAAGAAAAGAAGGATGGGACAGATTGTAGAAGCACAAGAGGAGAGAGAGGGAGGGAGGGAGGAGAGGAGAGGATATCTCAGGGACAAAAACTAGGTACCGGCCTGTAATATTTTATGTCAGACCAGGATTTCAAGGGTGGTGGGAGAATTTGGGCTGCAAAGGACTACAGCCTCCTCCCTCAGCCAATTTTCCCCTACATCAGCACATGCCACAAAGGGACTGCAAAGAGCAAAAACTTAATCCACCCTTTACATTAACAGAGATCAGACACCTTTGAGGATGAAATATTACCAAGCAAACAGATTTACCTGATTCTTTCCAGGCTGCATCGGTCCCATGTGGCCAGGTGGTCCCCCAAATGGAGTGGGTCCAAACCCAGGTACTGAGCACAGAAACACAAAAAACTGAACTTTAGTAAGCCTAAACTGACAATGTTGGAGACAGTTGATGTTGTTTTCTAAAGCTGTGTCCTAAGCAATCTACTACTCACAGATGAAAGAGGAGGGCCCCATGTTGGGCGAGTGTGGTTTGGAGGCAGCTGAGAAATAATCCACAGCTTTCTTGAATCGCTCCACCTTGTCCTCCATACGAGACTGAGAGAAACAAAGCATAATGGTCACTACATAACATGCAGGGATTTTGACAGTGAAAATGTTCTGCTGAGGGATCTGTTAACGAGTTATTAAGCCTAAAGCAAGGACCTGGAAGAGACTCATGGGCTACGTTCAGATAACATGCTGCAGCCCAAAACTGATTGTTTTCCCCTCCAATAACATTTTTTCAAAACAGATCTGAGCCACATTTGTATATGTGATTCAGGATCTGACTCATATTCAATTCAGTTTTATTTAGTGCCAAATCACAAGATCATCTCAAGGAGAAAAACCCAGGAATTCACCCTTGAGCAAGTACGAAAAACAACTTCCTTTAATAAAAGAAACCTCTGACAGAACCAGGTGGGTGGCCGTCCTGCTTCGACTGGTTGGGCTGAGTGGAATAAGATCACCGACTATGTGAATACTGCCAGAATGATCAGATCAAAATTCAAGTTTTTAATGTTTCACTCTTCTACATGTATTGCCTGCTGTCAGTGTACAGACCAGTATAAGTAAACATGGAGGAGGGCAACAGCAGTGTTTATACAGAAGCTTCTGATCAAGCAAAGCTGGAATGAACAAACTGTAACTGAGCAGTTTTAAAGGAAATGGAGCAAACTGACTGTTGTACATGACATTATCTTTTACACACGAGGCTCACAATTCATTTAAATCGGTGGACGCTTGACAGTTCAACAGCATTCACACATGGAGTCAAATACATCACTTACAAACTTACAAGTATGAACTATCACTAAAAAAAGACAAAAAAAAAAAACCTGAATGGAAGATTAAGGCCTGTAATGTGAACGTAGCCATATTTGCCACCAGTGTTCATTTGTTACCCAGTATGGCCTCTCTATTCCCTTCCAGACCTCAAAGTAACATGGGTCTGAGGCAACTCTACTTTAATATGAATGACTGAACACCAGTGGCAATAACAGCTACTGTACATGCTCATTAGGACTGGGTTTTAATAGTCAGTTTTAATTTCAAAACTGTTCCCAGGTCAATAAAAACAACCTGGATTTGTCAGAAGACAATATTCTATATTTTTTATTGTCAACAAATAACAAAAAAAAAAAAAAAAAATCCAAAATAAACAGTACATTTTTCCAGCTCTCAATACTTTACCACCTCCCAGAGCTGGTTGTGACTCATAGCCACAAACACATGTTGCAACAAAGCTATGGATCTTCATTTGGAAAAAAGGGTCACAAATATGTACTTTTCATTTTCTAGAAAGTCTTAATCACAAATATGTACTTTTCATTTTCTAGAAAGTCTTAATAGTTTAAGAGCCAGGCACTGTAGTTTTAGAAGAAAACAGCTAATTTGGTGACTATCTTCTTCCACAGATAAATGCCACTGGTCTACAACCGAATTGCTTCAGAATTTCTGGACCACTGAAAATAAAATTCATTGGCTGTGGTATGTAAGATCTGGCTCTGGCAATGTGTGAATTTTATTTATAAATGACAGAACTTTGACAAATTACTCTGAGTAAAACCTGAAACTGTAAGCAAAACTCTTGGTGGACCTAATGACAAAGATATTTGCTTTTGATACAACAAACTTCTTAGGTGAAATATTAGGCTGACACTGTGTCTCAGGTAGTATAAGCCACACATTTTTCATTTAGCTTAACTAAAGCACTTATTACATTCATAGCTCAGCTCAGGACATCAAGCTCACATCTAGTGTTGCTTTCGTCAACGAAAATTATGACTAAATATCATCGTCAACGAACCTTTATCGCATGACGAAAACGAGACGAGATGCAATGAAAATGCTGGTTGTGTGACGATGACTATAACTAAATGTATAATGCAATATCGTTGACGAAAAAAAACAAGACTAAATGTGGTTCACAAAATAAAAACTATGCCAAAATGTCTCTTCATTTTCGTTGACCAAAACGAGACAAAACGAAATGTTATAACGTTATTTCGTCTCGTTCAGTCGCGTTATTATTATTTTGCAGTATTTCTGTTTCCTGTCTTACTTCAGGTAGCACTGCGCAGACGCAAGCGACGTCACTTCCTTAAGCCCCATTCGCGGCATTATTTAGAAGACAACAACAAACAAAGTTAAGTCTGACACAGAGAAAGGGGCCGATGGTCGGCCAGCCCGAGGTCGTCTTTG